ACGTAGGCTTCTTCATCCGAGGCAGTTTGAGAAGAAACCATCCTATCCAGGTGTTTGCATATGTAGCACGATCGCGCATCTCCCTACGGCGCTCGAACGCCGAGCGATAGCGTTCGTAGGATTCACGGAAGCCGCGATCAACCCTCGACGAAAAGATGAGCTCTCCCCGCGGATTGGATGCAGGCGGGATGGGAGATATGGGCACGGACGAGCTTCGGCGAGCAGAATCTCGCGAGGGGGACGACGCTCGATGCGGGGGCTGGACGTCTGTATCGGGTCGCGCAAAGAGCATGGCGAGTGTCTTGAATGGAAGCTTGGACCTCAGCGGAGGCTGCCGGACATTGAGGTACATGTTGAAACTACGTAGTGCACGGTTCGCGTGCGGGACGTATCTTGACGCGCGATTGCACCCGGGTGATGAGCGGGGAGGACACGCACCAGTTCGCAAGCCACATACCGATTGGCATAACCGATCTTCTCTGAGTATGTGCCAGTCGCGAAGAAGAGTACGAAGGTTGTTACAGATACAAATAGTAGTGCTGAGGGGATATAGGGATGCAGTCGGACGTCGGTGTCGTCTGTATAGATATGGGGCAGTGCGGTCTTGAGAGCAAGCCTGTATGGTATAGATAGGAAGTCGGTCTGCAAGAGAACTTCGGAGAGCAGAAAAACGATAGCAAGCAGGAGCTGTACGAGAAATACTGCGGGGCAAAGTTCAGAGAGCGGTCAGTACCCATCCTTCAACACGAGACGCACGTTGGTAGCGACGTTTGCGGCGTTTTAGCGACGCAGCGTTGGACTTGAGCCGCTCTTCAAAGAGTAACAGATCACGGTGTGTATAAGCATCGTTGGGCGGGCAGAATGAGCCTGGCTGGAGTTTGGAGGATGATCGTGAAGGCATGTAAACGTGAGAGTCGAGTGAAACATGCCAAATCCACGATGCACCTCACCAGCGCTCCCTCTGCACAGCCACCTCCAGGCAGCGAGTCGTCCAATTCACACTTTGCCCAGGAAAATGGGCGAACAACGATCTCGAACAGTCATAATCACATACTATTATCTAGCCATGTACACTACTACCAACATCGAACTGACAAGTCTAGGTAAGATCAGAACCATCGTTCCACCAGTTTGAAAAGCGTCCAGATACATCCGCCAGAAATGATGGGCAACGTCAAATTATCGTCCAGCGAGCCCAAATCTGCACGAACGTTAGCCTGTGCAATCGCATCAGAACAGATGTGGCATACCGAGGGCTTCCGCTACACCTGAAATCAGTCCGCTCGCGACGCCGAGCAAGCCAAGTTCAATCATTCCTCTTATCTTTGCATTTGCACCGGGAACAATGTAGCTCCCGAAGGTATGCGAGAGCTCGCCGGGCCAACTCCAACTCGGGTCGGTGTTGCCGAGAGGAGCAACCCAGCCCCAGAATCCAATTATGATGCAGGTGCCTGTGAGCGAGCCTGCAAGGAAACCCGCGACGGACTTGCGGGATGCAAAGGGGACAGGGATGCCCCAGATGCTACGCGGAAGACGAGAAGTGCGCGGGCCATAGAGGCGGCCGATAGTGGAGGCGGCGGTGTCCACCCAGGAGAGACTACAGCGAACGGGATGGATGTGAGCTGAGTGACGGCACGATTAAGCGAGGGAACTTGCATGAGAATAGATACGACAGCAATGTCAAGGGGGTATACAGTGAGAACAAAGATAACACCGAGCATGTACCAGATTACACCATTTGGCGAGTTCTACATAATGTTGAGCATACAAGCGCAGATGTTGTCGTGGAAGCAAGCGTACCTTTTCGCTTTCGCGCATCAGAAAGCCCAGAACGCGCTCGTACAACCGCTCGAAACGGGGAAAGTTTAGACGGAGGACGTCTGCAGGTACAATGACAGCAAGAGAAAGGCCCAAGGCGTTGACAACAGGACGTGGCGATCCATGCGACAAGTAAAGGTATAGTGTGAAGAAACCTTGGGGGAGGGTCAGGCATAGTCCAGTAGCGCGTTCAACGTCGTCCGACGCACCTATGGACGAATGCAATGCTTTGCGGGGTATCTCCCAATCTATAGGCTCTACCGGTACGAGTTTGTTTGAAGGGTTTGGAGGTGCTTTCGCCTTGCTGGCAGTGTCATTCGTATTCGAACTGTCAGGGTCACTGCGGTGGCCCACACGACGTCGTAGGTCTGGCGACGTCGAGCGGCCGCCGCGCGACGGTCGTCTCGCTGCTGGCGGCACCTTTGCAGGCGAGGGGGGTGTGTGGGATACTTTGGTGCTCGTCACAAAGGGCAGTTTAGGAGAGGAGGAGCGGAGAGTGAGTGAGTATGATGGACGCGACGAGTCATGCGGGAGTCCAAGCGTAAATGCGTCATTAGCAGGGAGGGTCATTATACAGCGGATAAGCACACGTCGGTAGGAGGTCTAGCGGCGGCGATGGCGGTCAAGAGCAGGAGCTGTGCGCCCGCAGAGCCACGTCAAGCACCGCTCTCAACAACGTTCGGCCACTCGGCCGCCCGAGACTCTCTTTTCCGGCCACAAGGCGCCATCCGCTGCACCACTCACGCCCGACTCGTGCCGAGGACAACATAGATCTATGCCTGCGCATGTCTCCTTTTACGTATACATGGGTGCTAGGGTAACATGAAGACCGCGACATCTAGTAGACGTAACCCAGGAGCTTCCCACCGACGTTTTTGCGACGCGCCTCCTCGTGGTCGAGGATGCCCGAGGAAGTGGTCTACACCGTCCGTCAGCGAAACGAGCCAGAACACCACAAATGGCAGGACGTACCAGGATGATGATGCCGAACCCACGAGCGGGGAGTAGCAAGTTGACCCACGCCTCGATCTGCGGCACCTGGACGTTGTAGCGGGGCGAGATGACACCGGTCTTATTCAGGCGACCGTTGAGCTGGATGACAATCTTGCCGGACCGGTGGTCGTCAACAATCTCGAACTCGCCAATGTAACCTACAGCACGAGACCCAGTCAGCGCCAGATTCTTCGCGAGGGTGTGCATGTCATCTCCGTTGTGAACTCAGATTCCCCAGAGATAGGAAAGTGAGTTGTAATGGTTATAAGAGATGGTTGATGTTTCGGAGCGTTAAAACGGCTGGCGGGTGGGAGCGATACCACACCAGCCGTAGTTATCACTCCGAGAGGTAAAAAAGCGAGCCGAACTGGACGCTCACCGTGGCGCTGCATGACGCTGAGGAACTTGACGATGACCTTGGACGACGGGCGGATGAGCACCTGGCGCTTTCCGCGACGCTCCGCGTTGACGATGTTGTTCAGGCAGTCATTCTGCGCGTGGGCGGTGAGGCAAGGCGCCGTCTGCGAGCAAAGAGAACACGCACGAGGACAGAGACGCGGACCATGGTGAAGGAGACAGCGGGAAAGGCCTTACGGGGACTGGGAGGAGAAACGCCGAGGGTAAGTAACCTATGCTCAGTCCGAGTGTCGTGCTACGGAAAGCACGAGTCAAGACGAGCTGGATGCGACCAGAGAGGCGATGCGAGGGTCGTCAAGTGCTGTCTCGTGCGATCGCAACACGACAAAAAGGGACGCAATCACCTTGGAGGGGGTCTTGAGGACGGCGGCGACGTTGACCAGAGCTGCTGCCCGACACGCGCCACTTGCCCGCCACCGAGCGCCCGGTGGCTGAACAACTGTACAGGTCATTGCGGCAACTCCCGGCCTCAGCCACTGCAGCACCCGACCGTCTCGCCGCCGTCGTCCCCATCAAGCTCAAGCCCAGGGTCAAGCCTCCCCGACACACTCTCGCTCATCATGGTCAGCTCCCCCTCCATGCTACCCGCGTCCGGCCGAATTGACGATTTTCCGCTCGTTCCTAGGGTCGCGTTCGCACAAAGACGACAAAGAGGGCTTCCCGTGTCCTCATCGAGAAGTAGTGAGTAGCCCGCTCTGTTGACTGTGTCCAGTCGCCGCCGTCGTGCAAGAATACCGCGTTCGGACGAGCCATCAAGCTGACACGGGTGTTTCAGCTACCCCCGCCTCACCCTCGACTTCCACACCAACAAGCGCATCATCGATGAGGTCGTAAGTAGCACTGTTGCATCACCCACTGAGCTGCCCTAGTAATGCAGTCTCCTGCAAACCCAGGCGGTCGTCCCCTCGAAGCGTCTCCGCAACAAGATTGCTGGCTTCACGACCCACTTGATGAAGCGCATCCAGCGCGGCCCTGTCCGTGGCATCTCGTTCAAGCTCCAGGAGGAGGAGCGTGAGCGGAAGGACAACTATGTCCCGGAGGTCTCTGCCCTCGACACCAGCGTCAGCGGTCTCGAGGTCGACCCCGACACCAAGGTCCGTCGCACCGAGTCTCCCTTGTTGTGTTATTTAACACTCCACACAGGACCTCCTTCACGCGCTCAACTTTGACTCTGTCTCGGTCACCGTTGTTACGCCTGTCCTCGCTCTCCCCGAGCGCGGCCCCCGGCGGGAGCGCCGCAACGTGCCTGGCGCAGGCCGCTCGTGAGGTCAGATATAGGATACATATGCCTTATGACCATGCTACATAGTGCTGCGTTTGTCGGCCAAAAGCTCTTCGGATCCGCTCTCCTACGTTGTGTTGCTCGCCATATGTAATTTTCCGACTTTTAGGATGGCAGATCCGACTCCGATCCAGGGTGCATGCAATGTCACTCGGACACTTTGCGGGCCAGACAACGGCCTCTTCACGCAAGTTATGGGTAGCAAGTACACTTGAGTTTTGAGCTAGCAAAAAAGGGATCACCCCGTGCAATTAGTGGAAGACAATGCTGCGTTGAATATATATTACCGAGCGACAGTGGCAGTGAGGGATGTTTAATGTGAAGGCAAACTCGAGAGCGAGCTTGAACGTAACTATTACGGTCGATGGTAGTGTGCAGCTCCGCAAAAATGCACATGAGTGCAAGGACTACTGCTAACATGCTGGAAAAATGTGTTTGGTTGCGAACAAAAGGGGTGCGCGGCTGCGCGCAGGCGACACAGTGGCAAAAAGGGCCCAACCGGGATTCGAACCCGGGATCCCTTGCAGTTGTGTGCTCCCGTAGGAACCGCCCAAAGCAAGTATCTTACCTCTAGACCATTGGGCCGTTGCGATTGGTGCTTCCCCCAGGATAATGTATGCTCGCAAGCCACCTGGATGATGACGTCAGGTTGAGTGCTAGGTACTTATAAGATGGCCACCTTGGGTCTCCCGGCTCCGTTGTATACTTTGACCACCATGTCTCCCTCGTCCGTCCCTTCTCTTGCATACCCGCCCGCTGCCCGTACACACGAATACCTCAGGACCGCTGATGCCGGCATCGTCTCCACCCAGCCTGTACCAGCTTCGGCCATGATGCTTCAGCCCCCTTCACGCACTGACAAGGCGGAGCGAATCAGAGGAGGCTGCATTCCCTGCCCGGTGCGTGCGCTCCGTGTGTTTCTGCGTCCATACAGTTCTCATCACCGAAATCTAGGGAGGCGGCATCTGTTGGATTATACCCATCCCATGCTGCTGCTAATCGACGCCAGTACTTGGCTGATTCGCCGTGCTCGAGGAGCATTCAGCCATAACGACCACCACGATCCCACACGAGGCACAGATCCCCGCATTCCCATGATTCTGTATCGATAGAGGATTCAATTTGTAACTTAGCTGTAATCTACATGGTCGACGATAAATTTCGTACATGTCTGCTCTCCCGACGACGTTTCCACTGGGGGTGAGCATGCGCTCTGCTCAAACATGCTTGGCAATCCTTACCAATACACTTACTTCCGAACCATAAGCTGGCCTGGTAGGGCTGTAGCGCGTTGTTCATTGCCACTTCACAAATACACGCTTACCTAACATTCTTAGTGACTTCCGCTTCATAACTAAACTTATTCACTTACTCTGCGTCTCCCCGATCACCAGTCCTAAGTGTGGTGAGCAAACGACAATGTGTTCTTTGAAGCAACTCTCTGCCATGTTGGACTGCTGTCAGTGTGTAAGCTGATTACTTCACCTGCTGGCGAAACAGCATTCCTCTCAGGCCTGTGTGTTCATCTCCGTCGCCATTATGCCATCGGTAATGACCGTTCCTTCCATATCAATTAAAGACATCTAGACGAGAGGATGCGTGCTTGCATTCTGTGAGTTCCATTGACAACCTCGCTGTAGAAGCATGCGCACAGCCAGAATACTTATTAGAGGTGAATTGTACTTCGACAGACAATATCAATTACGTCATGACCCCGCCTGACTTGAGCTCCAGCCTTCGACAGATCTTTCTCAGATTCTTTCTGCCTTTCGAGTGCACGCCTGTAACTCGGGAGCAATTAGCTTTGTATGGGCAGTGTGCTCTAGGTGAGCCAATCTGCCGGTAGTCGATCTGCCGAATGTATGCCTCTGGCGCCATATGGAAATCGCGTGGTAGCAGGTAGGCACTTCCCTCGTGTTCATTCAAAGACAGCACGCCTCCTCCCAGCCACTACCATTGTCGTCGATATTGCAATAGCCTGGAGGGGCATATAAACTATCTAGCCCTGACATCGAACGGACAATGCGATCTGCATGGTGCTCATGGAACCACAGTCTTCCAGCCTCCGACTCTCGCAACTACCGTCTAATGCGGGCATTTCTTTTGCGTCTCCACCACCCATCCAAGAGACATTGCCGAGTCGGTCACCCAGCGTTGTCAGGGAGCAACCTGCTCTGATGTCGGGGATTGTGTTCGACAATACTTCGAATGAACCAATCATTGGCAAAGCAGACAGGATACGGGGAGGCTGCCTAGAGTGTTTCTTTTGCTTCTTTTGCTGCGTAAGTGGTTTACGTGCAACTGTATTGCCGCGTTGCATTCATTATTCGGTTTAGGCCCCTGGATCTGGAGACGAGCCCTAGCAATCTCTCAGCAAACCCACTTATAGCTTTCCCATGCTTTGAGCGTACTTCCGGTACGTTTTCTCGTCCCACAGTCGCAACAGTATGAAAAGCTGAAAACAGTTTTCTTGTGATCTCGCTGATCCGCGACGGGAGCAGGAGACTGCCAGCAGTGGTGTTGTTTTGTCCGTTTGTTCTCGACCGTCTTGTTGCGTTCATCGTCGCTCTCGACCATACCATCACTCCAGTTTCTCCGCACATGCTTGGGATACTAGTAGTTACACTCTTGCTTTTCAATCTTCCCGGTATACATGGTCTAAATACAAGAGTTTCCTGATGATCGATTCCCGCTCCACGTCTTCACGGGGTGCGAGCCGTTAGTACGAATGAGGTCTAGAGCTGCACAAAATGACTTGTTATCAAGTGCAGCCTAGCGCAAGGTCCGGCAGACCAATCATGCATTAAGTATGTGCCGAGGTGCTGAACCCGACCCTTGCAAAACACGCTTCAACCTGCTAGCCTGATATATGGGACAAGGCAGTGCCGGCTTAGACGCGTCGAAAACATGTTCTCTGCGGTGATACTTCATTCTAGCTGCATGCATCCGTTTTCCATAAATACGCCGTGAGCAATTGCATAGCACTATCTCAACCTGGGTCTCGATATATTCTGCCATAGACCCGATATATTGTTAGTTGACTCATTGTTCCATTGTCTAGTTCCTAGGATGGACGTAAGTATCTGTACAATTTTATTGCTTCACGGGATAAACATCAGCACCAGATACTCGACCATGACGAGTCTACCCGGAATTTCTACGGAGATCTTCCTGCCACCAATGCAGGGTCTATAACTGTGGGTATATTTACTACGTTTATACAATCCACGAGCTAATGCCTTGATTATTCTCGTAGGCTGATGTTCGGTCAAATGAAGCGTGCATAACAATCCATGGGAGTGGTAATACTGTTGGTCGCGATACATCCAGAGCATGGGCAGTGTGTGCGAGCAAGTTGTCCGAGCATCAAGGGGCAACCGCTGAGGTCTGTGACAGGGAAATTGATACCTTGCTCGTCTTCGTGAGTCCTCAACGCACAGTACGCGCGGGGAGTAATGTTCTACATTGAGATCATTGGATAACCTCTGAGGATAGGCTGGCCTATTCTCCGCTGTTGTATCCACGTTCGGCGCGCAAACGTACTCGTCGCTTCAGCCATCAGTTCCGGATGCCTCGACTCAACTTCTTGCCCAAGTGTCCGCACAACTTGCCAGTATCTCCATCGCCCTTCATCCCCCCTCGTTGAACTCATCAGGATCGATGTGTCCCCTCGGCGGCAGTGGCACACCATGGTCTGCGATCCTCATCAACATGTCGTTCTTTTCGAGCCTCATTCTTAGCCTCGCCGTTGCTACCAAGGGGATCCTTCTCAAACAGTGGCTGTCTCACTTTCGGAAGATACATGGCTCCGACCCCCGGCAATGTGCTCGTATTTGGCACCTACGCCAACAAGGATGGGAGCGATTTCAGGCCAGCGAGATGCTGGCTGATCTCCCTTGGCTGATGCAGGAAGCCGTGCTATTATTCCTCGCTGGCTTAACGGGACTCCTGTGGACGCTCAATACTTTCGTGGCGCTGTGCGGGATGGTCTTCATCGGACCAACCATCGTGACTATTATATGGACAACGTTGGTTCCCGTCAAAGATCACCAATGTCCCTTCAAGTCTCCGCAGTCTTGGATGACTTACAATATCGCCTCATATCTTCAGTTGATACCTCGAAATGCGAACTATTCCACGTTCGCTTTCCGCAAGATGAGCGTCATCGAACGCCTCAATCGTATATTTCTCGGATCACAACACTTTACACCTCCTCGGTGGGATCGCTATGAAATGCGCGCACTCCGGAACGTCCTCGAGAGCACGCGTAACGCAAACTACGACGCAGAGTTGCTCGCTGCCGCCGACGAGACACTCAAGGATTCCACATTCCTCGATAGCGTTGTTCGACCGTGTTTACTTGAGCTTGATTGTGACGCCGCATCACAGGCGTTTCTTCTAATCACAAACCGTCGTGCCGACAACGTGGTCAAGAGGGTTCTGGTGTGGAAGCGCCCCGTCATGGACACGGAGATGAGCTCCCTTGCACATATTGGACTGGATCTGCTCTCGAGGATGGATAAGACGGACACTGATCAAATCAAAGCAGTGTGTGGGGTTATACACAGTCTGCTGGATGGACGCCAGGCTCCTTCGGATGTGTTCCGCCGCGCCCTCAGAGTGTCCTTGGATATGTCTGGATTGGAACCAGTGAGAGACATGGTCTTCCATTTGTTGGAAAGCACTATTATTGCTGGAACTTCTAGCTGTACGGGTAAGGACGCAAATCATTCTGAGACTTGAACAAATTCTCACTGCTACTTTTCGCCCAGCTATGGAAACACTTACAGAACACGCGTTGCAGATCCTGGCTATACAAGATAGCCATATACACTACCTGTATTACACCGCCGTTTTCAGCTGCCTCTCGCTCGAGGATGACATGTCGGACACGCAGTGCAGAGCCGCGCAGGCGCAAATCACCGCCTTGATTGCTGTGCTGCAAGATCGTGTCGATGGGGTCTCCTGGTCGCAACTCCAGCCAGGCTTCATGAGGGGGATGGCACGAGATGGAGGGCGGCTGTTCTCTATCCTGAATGCTGTCAAACGTCGACATCCGGCTTTGCTAAGCGAATCACAATGGGCGGAACTTGATGGGGCGAGGAATAAGGTATTGTAACGTACCGAGTGCTGGTATGCACAGAGGGTCGCTTGTTCGCCGTGTAACAGAGCGAAACCGGGGGATGTAGCATAGCTGCGCCGTGTGCTGCTCGCTTGCTCATACGAGGGGACTGTCGCCGAGCGTATAGCGTATGATTGTGGTGCTGGGCTGCCATCGTAATTTAGGACACGTTTGGGATGCAACAAGGTGGATGCTGCGTAGATGTGTCTGACGGTGAGAGTGTTAAGAATATACTGACGCTGCGTAGCGCTTGCGAGTCGAGCGTGCGCGCGGCGACGGAATGCTCTCCTCCACCGTCCTCGCAGCCTGGATCATCGGCTCACCAGTTTCTGGAGCGCAAGACAGGGTCATAGCAACATACCCTAGGCGACCCTATGCTACCGGGCTCCCATGGACAAGTTCACGACGCTTGAGCCTGTCCGACTCTATGGCCCTGCCTCCTCATCCAACCGTTTCTCGTTGA